ATTTTAAAGTCTACGCGGAATTTGACCGGAAGCCAGTGCAAGGACTCCAGGATAGGAGTAATGTGAACACTTGCACTAGATCTGGTCAGGATTCTGGCTGCTGAATTTTGGACATACTGCAGCTTGTTCAGAGTAGATTTAGATTAAGTAATTTCCTTTTCAATTTTCACTTCTCTATTTCTTGTACTGTATAGTGGGGTGCGCTTCAGTGCTGAATGATGTGGGTACCACCCTATATGTATAGCAGTTTGTATACCTTGGGATAAAAATGAAAAATTTCCCTTGGGAGCACAGAACAAGCTCCTGTATGTAGCCGTGTTGTCGAAGCTAATAGCCCAGCTACTTTCAAGAAACAGCTGGAGGAGATCCTCGGGTCAATTATCTTCTAACCACCCAATGACCTAGAGGGGTCAAATGGCTTTCTCTTATTGCAGATTTTTCTTTTGTCTGAATGAAAAACACCATGCAAATACAAGTACATAATTAACATATTATGTTAAAAGCAGAAAATTAGGTCAGCAGATTTTTACATTTACATATAAAACCATTTATATTGGAAGAAATAAAAGCATCAGCATCAGTAACAATATGAATGCTATATTGATTAAAATTGTAATAAAATTTTCATTAGGATCATTGCAAGCATTATATTATGACTGGCAATCGAACTGCTCCTATGGTGCAAAATAAATCAATTTATAGAACTGTTCAGCTCATGTAACTTTAATAGCTTTTGTCTTCTTCGTGTGTGTACGGATTCAATTAGATGTTGTAACATGAAAAGATACAGAACATTTAGAATTTTAGTTATCCTAGACTTTTATTGCACAATACTAAAAACATATTTCTAAATTTAATGGAGCGATAATCATAAAATTATGGATTTCATAATTTTGAGAAAAAAACAAAATATTAATTACCAGAGAACCACTATCAAAAGAAAAACATGGATACAATATAAAATAAAAGTAATTGCATTCTTTAGGTTATGAATGGTTTTGGTCTCTCTGAAATTATGAAATGTGTTATTTTTAAATGAAATTGAATAAAATGAAAGAATCTACAGTATATTCATTTAGTTAACATGCAAATACAGTTATTCATTGCATTTAACCGCACTCCTCCTGTGATTGCACCACTTAAAATGCTATACAGAAAACTAAAGCAAAAACAAAACAGTTCATATCTATTTGCAAAACAGTCACATTAATGTTTTAATGAAAAAATAAGTATATTCCCAACAGTTTATTTCAATTAAAAAAACATTTTCCTCCCACAGCAAGATGTGGTTGGAGAGGTTAGCATCAGTCAGGACTTCCCCATCGACAGACATTTTACAAAAAGGCACTACAAGTGCAATAATGTCAAAACAAGCAGTTGTCTGCACTGCAGGGTTCGAACTGACAATATTTAGGTCTTTCTGCCATTTGCATTAAAAACAGTGTTTCTGTCCTGATACTTGTTTCAACACACCAAAAAGCAGCAGGAGCTGTTGAAGCTCACTGAAGGAGAAGAAATGTCATGTGTTTCAGGGTTGTGTGACTCAGAAATAGTAATTATTCCCATGACAAACATAATATATATATGGTAGACATAAAACTAGTAAACTAAGCTTATTGTATCTGTGGTAATAAAACATATGATAAACAGTGATTTATTATTCCCTCTTACCACATACCGTTGTACAATGTGGGACAATAATAGGCAGACTGGTTTGAATGGAATTCAGCAAAAAAATAGGA